CTTGAGATATTAATTAAAATTTATATTTTTTAACTTTAAAAAAAAATTATAACAAATATTTTGATACTGGAAAAATATTTTATCGTTTATACCAAGAACATTCACAATTTTTGGACAAAGTTGAAGAGTGGGGCGCATTAGGCATTATCATATGTCTTTTACTTTTTGGGTTCAAATTCTTAAAACGTGAATCTTGAATAAGACCCTACAAAGGAGCTGTAGTTATTCATGCACATTAATACAGTACATTTCTTTGGCAGAACGAATATGACATTTCATAAATTAATTTAAAAATTAGTTTTTTAATCACTAATAAATTATTTTTCTCCGAATTAACCGATTGGTATAATAATTAAACAATATACTAGTAATAATTAAAACAAGTGGATTGAACTTTTTCACTATTAGTAAGTTAAATTTTCCATTTGATATAATATATGCAAGTTGCATGAGAATGTCGACAACGTACAGCAGCTTTATAAAATTAATAATAATATATAGAGCCCCCTAGTTTCTGACCTTTGATTTCTCCTGCATAGAAAACGTGTGCTAATTGGGTACTCATTATTTTTATTTTTTATTTAATATATTTTTTAAAAAAGAATAAACTCTTACTCATATTTTGATAAGTTTTTTTATAGGCTAATTTGCAAGAAAAATGTCGGTTCAATCTGTTCAAATTTAAATGAATTATATTTTTATGGACTAAAATCTAGCATGCATTTAATAAAAAAGAAAGAAATCGCCAAAGCTGTTATGAGTAAGCAGTCGTAATTTTCAAGCATGTTGAATGTTAAAAATTTAGGGGACAACAAGTCCAATAACTTTATTACAAACATTATCTGAAAGGACGAAATCGGATGAATCCAAATTGTACTATTATCTTATCTGGGTCCGTCAAGTCTTGTTTGTTTCAATTCTTTGATAAGAGAGATTTGAACCAATTTATTTTTCCGAACTATCTTTCAACCAAAATTCAAGAAATAAAAGTTCCCAATTTTTTGGGAAAACGTAAATACAACAACTAAAAGTGTGATCCTATTACCCTCTCCACTCTCCCCTAACTCTCACACAAGATATTTTGTGCTATATTTACGGGTATTAATTGAGCGACTTATACCCCCTTCGTTTAAAAATAAGTAGTGTTTTGGCCCCTTGATTTTGTTTCAAAATAAGTGGTGTTTTACATAATCAAGAAGACATTTATGATGTTCTTTCAATTTTACCCTTATTTAAATTAAAAGAGTTTTACATAATAAAGAAAATATTAAAGAGTTACATGTTTTTCAAGATATTAATTTGGGGTAAGTAGGTAAACATGCATTTTTTTTCCTAGGAATGAGTAATTTTTTAAAGGGGTGTGCATGGGCTAAAATCACCACTTATTTTGAAATGAAAAAAGTATTAAATTTGGGTATATTAATAAAGTAAATTTAAAAATAATTTGAACTGAAATAGATAATGAAACGGATCTTATCTAACTCATCCAATTTTTGTTATATTTTAGTTTCTTTCTTTGTTGTTTTTTTAATATTTCATTTAAATATCTAATAATTTTTTTAATAAATTAAAATGAATTCAACTAATAAATAAATGAATAATTCGAGCAGATTATATTTTTATAGATTAATTTTGCCTATCTCTCACTATAATATAAATCTAAATTAGTATCAATATTTTAATAACTTTCATAAGTTATAAACCGCAGCATTTTGCTAGCGTTTTTGCAAAAGATGGTTTGGTAAATTCCACTGGGTTTATAATGGAAACAAAAGACAACTAGTAATATACTGGTGGAGTATTGAATTGTCAATTGACTAGTTGGAGCACTAATGAAGATTTATAACTCAGGAGGCTGTGTTCGGCAGAAGAAAAATATTTTAAATTTTTAGATAAAAAATAATTTTTACTTATTTTTTTTGTTCGATATATAAGTAAAAAAAATTATTTTAAAATATTTGTATTCTAAAACAAAGTTATGAGAAAGAATGGGGATGGAGGTAGGTGATTGATGTTGTGGGTGGGGAGGGTGATTGTGAAGGTGGAAAGAAAATAATGCAATTTACTTTTTTAATTTCATAACAAAGTCATTTTCTTTTTCAAGAACCTTATTTTGCTAAAAATTATTTTCTGCATGGAGAAACTTGAAAGAATAAAACCAAAACATAGTTATAGATAGGCTTGGGCGTCAGGCAAGACAGCCTGATGGCTACGACTTGATTGTTCGTTTGATAATATAATAATGTATTTTAAAATTAAAATTCATTCATTAATCTTAATTAAGTTAGTAAAATATTAATTTAATAATTAAAAAAACAAAAAAAACATGTAATTTAATTAAAATTAATTTTTTAAATTAATTTGGTGCAATTAATTATTTTTATGTACCTTGAAGATACTTATGGGTGTTATAAAAATAAAATAAATATTTTAAATTAAATAAATTAAATATTTTTGAATTTATTGTTGTTTTCTTTTTATTTTTTATCTTTTCCTAATAGTTTATTATTACGTATTCAATATTAAGTTATTGTTATATTGGGTTATAGTTTAGACAAATATCTTATATAATGCAATCAAATTAAATGCAACAATCAATTAAATTAGTAATACTTATATTTTAAAATTAATTTATCATAAATTAAATTTTCTAATTACGTAATACTATACATAACTAAATATTAAAGCCAAAATAGTAATTAAAAAAAGTACATTTGGCCAAACTACGGGAGAAAATAAATGCTTTTATCGAGCAAAGTTGTTTGTTAGAAACTTCACAAAAGTAGTTTTCCCAAAAGCACTTTTGAGAAAAATACACTTGAAGATAATTTTTAAAAGTTTGGTCAAACACTAATTACTGTTCAAAAGTGTTTTTTACTATAAAATGTGTTGAGTTTGAAAATTTCCTAAAATTTTAAATTTATAATTTAAACTTCACAGATATTAAAATTATAATTTTTAGGATAAATGTTAAATATTCCAGTAAAATTTTCCAGTCTTTTCATAATTTTAGCTAAAGTATTTTCATCTAAATTAATTTTTGCATTAATTGATTAAGTCTGGAAATAGTCGTTAAAGTTCAATTAGCAGTCCAAAATTTGACTATTTGCCAATTTCTTCCCATATTTATTAGCCCGTAGACTTGGCCTCTCTGATGGCCCGTATTCTAACTGGACTTTCCCATTGAGATACTGAGCCCTTTATTGGTCTCATTGCATTAATTTGCAGCCCAAACATGACTTGCAAAAAAACCCGAAGAAAACAAAAGTAGAAAAACACCACTCCATCGTTTTAATTTATCCGACACCATTTATCTTGACATAAAATTGAAAAAAAAAACTTTTAAACTTATAATCTAAAACACTTATTGATCATTTAAGTGGCTATAAATCATTTTGTTAAATGTGTATGTCGGTTTTTAATTTTCTTATGTTCGGTTGTTCAATAACTCTAGTCCTCACCATCACTCCAACCCCCACCCCATCTCCTATTGTGTATGGCTAGATTATATATAAATGATTTTTAGAATAATATTTTTATTTATATATTGAACATAAGAAATAAGTAAAAAAGCCACCCGTTTCGCTATGAAAATTATTTATTTTTTACGATCACTTTGACTTGAAAATCAATGTTTAGACATAAAAATTTCAAATACAGTTTAAAGTTGTCTTTCAAATTTAAAAAGTACTCTCAAAACCTTATTTTTCACTTTTTTTTTAAATTTACTTTTTTTACTATGTTTTCTTTTTCAATCTTTACCCTAAATTTTTTATTTTTATAAGGCCATGATTAAGTTGTATTTCATATTTAAATCATATTTTATTTCATATTTAAATCATATTTCATGTTTTATTTGAAGAAAAAAAGTATATTCAAATATTATTTTTAAAAAATATAACCAAACAAAACTTCATCTTCAACTCCAATTTTAAAAATTTCAAATAAAATGAAAAAATTATTTGTAATTATATGTAGTAGCTCGTATATAGAATCTAGTCTATAATATTATTTGACTATCTTCTTTGAGATGTTAATCTTTGAAAATAGATATAGAAATAACAATTAAGACGGGATGGAAAAGACAAACACTTAGAAGGGCAAAAGGAGAGAAGACTTAAACGAGGCTAAGCAAAATTAAATTTGTTACAATTCAAACAGGCATAATCAAAGGTGATGGATTAAACCATAATCAAAGATTTAGAACTACCATGAAATTCCAGTTTTGGTCGTGATTATATTTCTAGAGAAAATTTCCAAAACTTTACCAACTTCCCCTTTTGGGTAAACATTTTCCTTAGTACTTCTCTGGAAAAGGAAATTAAATGGAATTACTCCATTTGACTCAATGTAAAATTTATATGACATAATTTAATTAGACAAAGGAGTTTGTGGAATTTTAAGAAAGATTTTTCTTTTTTGAATTAATAGTTTTTAATAAATTATAATATTTTTTGGATCGATTGTGGGCGAAGAGGGATTCGAACTCCCGACATCGTGGTTCGTAACCACGTGCTCTAATCGTCTAAGTTACAGGCCCCACCTCGAAGGAAGGATAGACAGTCCAACAGGTGTATAAGGATGAAGTGAAGGTGAAGTAAAGATGGCTCGGGTGTCTCTGGAATTATGAATTCCTCTTCTAGGCATGTTTTTAGTATTAGAATCTAGCTCTTGCATCTTCATTTGATACGGGGAATCTTGCAATACTCAGAAAGGCCTGTCAGCGAGGAACTCTCTATCAATAGTAAGTGAATGCGTAAAAACCAAGTGGTAAGAAAGCAGAACCTCACCTCTTTCTGTTGCTGAACATAAACCTACTTTTGATCCATTAGAGCAAGTAGATCTACTATACTACAAAGAAAGAAGTTGGTAGCAACATAACTCTTTCTAAGCCTCTAGAGGCAACCATCATGTTACACGTTTTTGAAATTAAGAATTTGAGAAACCATGCAATTGCTAGGGCTAGTGCTCTGGAGCAGCCCAACCCTCTGAGAGAAAGGAAAGAGCCTTCCCACCGAGACATAAAGCATCATACTATTCGGAGGAGCTGGAGTGGGTAAAACAATACTCATTATGAAATTGATTAACAATAATGCTAAAGCTCACAGGTCCGTATCCGTATTTGGTGGAGTGGGTGAATGTACTCGGGAAGAAAATGATCTTTACATGGTGTCTGTGCGGGAGGAAGGTCTTTTTCCTTCCATTACTTAACTAAGTTCGTTTTGCAAGGAAGGGAAGACATCTATGTAGGTAGAAAAAAAGTGGAGGTCAAGCTATGGGCACAAGGAGGTAAGATATAGTAAGTTACTTTTTCGTCTTTTGCTTGTCATTGGATTGGAAGTTGCAGTTAGTTAGAAAGGTTTACGAACTACTATGATCTATATATTTCCCATCTATATTCAATCCCAATGAGGATAGAAGCGAGTCACTCGTGAGAAAAAGATAAAATGTAGGTAGGCTACCATGCGGAGTGAAGGTAACTAGCCAATTCCCAAGGTCTAGTAAACTAAGGTGGTAGTGCAGATAATTGTGGGGTCAAATATTTTTGAATAATTAAGAATTTTTTTTTCTTTTAAAAAAAGACTAAACGGGGTTAAGCTTAATAAGGCAGGCCAAGGAAAAAAAAAATTTCAAAAAGTATTAATGGGGCAGGGCAGAGCGGGTAATTCGCACAAATGCCCTTATTTTAAGATGGTATTTAATTTTTGCCCCTTAAATTTATAGTCTTAAATTTTGATCCTTCGATATTTTAAGTGACAAAAAAATGATCAAAATGCCCTTATAGCAAATAAATAAATAAATGTATGTTCACAAGACAAAAATAAAATTTGCAAGACAAATTTTTTTGTCAAAGACATGTACTGTGATATAAATTCACACAGGTTATGCCTCAAAACATAAGTCAAGTAGCATGAACTTGCGATTTGGAACAAAAGTTGAATTGCATGAACTGTGCTTTAGGGCACAAGTTCAATAGGAAACTTATACCTAAAGGGAAAAGTTCACACTATTGAACTTCTGTCTTCTAAGGCTAACCTATGCTTTGTTAATTTTTTTTGCCTTGCGAATTTTATTTGTCTTGAGATTTTAAAGAAAATATTAGAGATATTTTTGTCCCATTTTTATTAAAAATCACCAATTTGAGGGGCAAAAATTAAAGATTACTCAAAAATAGGGACAGTCGCCACAAAAACTCACGGCAGAGCAGGTCAAACTTCTAATAGGTCAAGGCTTATTCTACCCCTCCCCATCTGCCATCCCAAAGTATATTTGATTATATATTTCAATTAAATATCAAGTCGAGTGATTTTGCTAGTTTTTAAAAATTGAGATATAAATCATATTCCAAAAATATAACTAAATTCTAAATACTTTATGTAAAAATATGATCAAACACAACTTTTAACTCTAACAATTTAAAAAATTATAGATCCATTCTAAATACTTTTTGTTAAAATATGATTAAACATAATTTGAATAAGTTTAAAATTTTAAAATAAAATTTGATTTTTATGGCTAAATACTCACTAAAAATAAAAGGAAAAGTTTTAATATTAAATCATTTTAATTATAAAAAATGAGANGTTTTAATATTAAATCATTTTAATTATAAAAAATGAGAGGGACTAAAAAGGAAAGTGAAGTAATTATCATTCGGGCTCAGGAGTATGTGAATAATCAAACCGAACACAGTCGACGAAGCTGAACAACAATTCATGCTCTGGCAGACTGTTGATACTGAATTAAACATTAAAATAAATAAATCATACACCACTTCTCCACACCCCCACTTCGTCATCTACATAATCATTCAGTGGCCTGAGTCCGTGTTTAATTGATTGAAATATGAAAGAACATAGCAGAAATCTTTGAAATTTCTTGTTTTTCTTGGAGGAGAAAGGGAGATGGGTAGAGCGATCTCGGTTTTATTGCAGCCTCGGTGGCTTCTGATTTTTGCTGGTGTTTTAGTTGTTATCTTTCTTGCATCCTCCATCTTCCAAAAGGTACGAACTTTTTTCTTCTAATATTACCCCCTTCTCGACATTTCTTTCTCTTTATGTCTTTCTTGTGTTATATCTGTGAAGTTTGGGTAATTGCATCATTCAATATAATGGGATTGGATCTGGTTGTGGTTGAAATGGGATTGACTGTACACTCTGGTCATGTAGCGTTGTTGGTCATTGATTCTTTTCTGCAGACTTAAAGCATCATTGTAAAAGATCTGACCCTTTTTTCTCATCTACTAAGTTACTTAGTAGTTAATTGAAAGGCATTTTCTGTCTTTAGAGTAAGCATTGTGCTGATTTCTTGTGGGAATGCCTCTCTTCTTTAGTTTTAATCTTCTCGCTCCATTAAAGTATACACGAGTCTTGTTATTTTCGTGTTTTCCCCCTTAAATGATGCAATGTCTTTAAAGGCATTGGCCACTAGATGGGTTCCTCAAGTACATTTCAGCTGGTGTGCCGGATGTCCTCTTCAGCAACATTGTTTGAGAAATGCTAATGTGGTTGGAAGATTCCTGTTTAGCTTATCCTTCGTCAGGTTGGAGTTTGCTAATGCTTAGAAAGTGACTTCCTCTTCTTCATTCTCGTTTATGGTCAATGAGCATCAACAAGTTATCTTCTTTTACGAACCAAGCCTGTTTTTTTTATGGATTTAATAGTGATAGGAGGCATAGGATATTGTCTAATCGCCACTACTAGCCAAATTGAAAAGGGAAAGTACTTCTTTGAGCTATTTGTGAGAGATGTAGATAATTATTGAGAATCAGCTCATGGATCTCATGGTGGTTAGATCTGGAAAGTGTGGGAATGATGACTGATGAGTGATAAGTTTGATGTCGTCCGCTGCAGCTCCAAGTTGGAGAACAACATACAAAACAAGGGGAGGAGAAAACGAGAAGTCAGATTAGACCCCAAAGGCTAGTCTTAGGAATTATCCTTAGAAGCAAGAAAACTTCATCCAAAACTTCGAGATGTCAGCTGCTACCTCTCTTTCACAGTATTCTTTTTCCTGTAAGCTAGCTTCCCTCAATCCCGCAATGATGTTTCCTAAATGATATGCAATCTATAATTTCAAGATAAGTTGAATTGCAACCTAAGCTGGTTTAGCATTCTATATTTCGTTATACAACTCTGGTTGTATAATCATCTCATTCCCTATCCATCAAGCTTTCTAGTTTGCATGCAATATGAACTGAATTGGTCACGTCCTCAGCCAGTTAAATTTTTATGATGCTAATTTAGTAAAATATAGCATTGTCCTTAATTTAAACTTTTGATAATCTGCAAATAAGTGTAAATGGACAGCTGTTAAGCTTGGTCATGTACCATATTCTTCATGCTGGAGATCCTTTTTTGTTCCCTTTAAATAGAAAGCTTGGAAGCGTTGTCCAGCTCCATATTCTCATACTGAGAGAACTTATTGATTTACTTTCCCTGATTGAAATATCTATCATTTCTGGATAGTTATTTGGTACGAAACCATAGAAGAGGGACTTACTCTCTTTTTTGCATGTAATTTGGAGGGTATCATATACACGTCTTATTTATATTCTCTCTTCAAATTGGGCTACTCATGTTAGGTAATCAACCCTCCACACAAAAGGAAAAAAAAAAGAAGGAAAGGAGGAAACGAAGGAAGTGCTGACTGGAGGACATCATTGACTGTTTCTAAGACAAACTACTAATATGTTCAAACCTGTACCATGAATTAAATTTTTAATATGCATATCTGAATAAGTAAGTTGCAGGATATATTTGATAAATCCTCATCTATCTATTTGGGCTTCAAACTCTTAGCAGGGAGTTAGATCTGCTCATTATAAGCTATAGTGCAACTTTGGAGTCCTATTTGCAAGTTATGTCTTCTATTCGATTTCTGAGCTCTCTTTGATTTCTCAGGAACATGAAAAGGTGGATGAAAAGGTGTATGAAATTACACACAGAGTATTCTTGGATGTTGATATAGATAAACAACGTGTAGGTATGGACTTATTCTGCTGACGTTCTTATCTTATAAGATGTCATTGAGTTAATGAATTACAAAAAAGTTCCCAAGTGTGCTAAACCCCACAAGTTCTCCGCTCACAATAATAGATAAAAAGGAAATAAAATGTGAATAGGCTGAATAAGTGACCTAATCTTTCCTTATCATCCTTTCTGAAGTTTGTCCCACTATGTCGTGCTGAGATAGTTACTTTTCCTTTTGGTTTACCCAAATTTGTAATCTGTACTGAATCCCCCTTGTTCAGTGTTCACCATTTCACCTTTTGAGTCTCATGTTAGTAGTCTGTGAAAGATCCTGATGATTGCCCTCTCTACTCATTTGAAAAACGACGACTTATTAGATGACATATAATGACTTGATCTATTAATGATTAAAAAAGCTGTGGTTTGGTACGGTATGTTCTTCATGCAAGGACAATGATACTTGTGAGCTTGCATTGCACTATACTAGCCCCGTTCCCAGCTAACATGGTTTGGAGTGCAATGGCTTACTTCAAGTCTTCAACTAATTGATCTTTTAAGAACAAATGTA